TGAGCCCTTCTTGCCACCCAAGTGTCCCTCTACAAATAAAGGTTATTGAATTGCAGCATCAGACATTCACTCAGCCACATATTGGACCAAGATATAACACTCCGTACAGTCCCCTGCCAGTCCAAGTGATGCTTCAAAACTTTGGATGTAGAGAGAAAACTGTTCAAGAATGCTTGAGCTTTGTGTGGCTCAGAGGATATGGAGCTTATTTTGCATTCAAAACTTAAAAGTCTTGTATCATGAGCAAAAGTAATCTAATCATTGAAAGTCTATTCAGGCATATTTCATACTTGGAAACATGCTGATAAAGGCTGTACTGTAAAGCCCCTAAACAGAACGGGAGGAAAAAAGACAAACACAAAAGGAGAATGTTGAAAACTGTGAAGGTGAGTAATCTCAAGTCACACATCACAGTAGAGTAGATAAAACTGAAAACCCAACAGTGTTAATGTTCCATTTGACTCTGCAATTGTAGTTTCAAAGCAATTAAATATTTCATTTGCTCAAAAGGTAAAATTAGTTATAGGTTCTTTTATGTGACAGCCGGTATTTATTATATCGATATTAAAATAGTTACATTCCACAAACTAAACTCTGTTTTAGATCAGTATAGGCCTCAGAACTCAGCACCTTTAACCTCCTAAAAAAGTGTTCTTGTAATAGCATAAGACAGGTACACCATTAAATGTTATGAATATAGCATTCCACCTTAATAAATACTAATGTGTTAAGTACTTTTTGCTCATTCGTCTGAGTCTACCCACCAGTGTAAGGCCCTGATTAACTTACCTGCCATGATTTACAGTGAACCTTGCTACTTACGTATTTAATTCCATCTGATGAAACTCATTCATCTAAAGACACAAGCTGTCAAAAGAGAGCCTTTCATCACAGCATGACTTCTCTCCCACTCTTAGTAGCCATGATTTATAGAGCTCATACTGAGACACTATTGACTTCTTCAGTTTCTGTTTTATGTGATAATTATAGTGCTGAAGTGGACAGTAAGACAACAGCTATTTGTCTTGCTACTTACTTATACAGGTATTGCAACTTCTCAATTGAGCCTCCTATGTGTTTATAAAATGTACTTTAGGAAAGGGGAGAGCTGTGGAGTATTTCATGATTGGAGGATGCTGGTGATGAAGATATGGCTGATGGCGCTGGTGGGTGTTTGACTACATGCTGTAGCTCTAGATCAGCAGAACTGTTAGCTGTTTTATTGAGTTGTAATTCTGCATAAGAAATACAGATTTGATCCCCTTTTGATGGTCGTTGGCTCTTTTCAGCCACGTGTGGCTACAGGGATGACAATGTCAGTCTGTTATTCTACCGTTTTGTTTCAGACTGAATTGTCTTATAGGCCAACTATTGGAGAGATTTGTTGTCCATAGTGAATAAAGATCCTGACTTTTCATTTTGCACCACCAGCAGGTCAAAGTTTTCATTTTGTGAAAATCTCAACATATATATTTTGTTTTTGGTGCTAGGAAATGTTATGTTAAAGCACTAAACTGATGTGATGTTAAAGAGATTATATATCATTGTATTGAGATTAGTAATAGCTATTTTTATTATTTGAATTATCACATTTTTGCAACAAAAACTTTAAACATAACCATGTCATTTTTATGCATTTATATATTGGTGATGAGCAGATATTTATGGCAAGATGATGCATTACACATCAGTTAAAGTAACATCAATATAGATTTGTGCGTTTATAGGAAAAAGTAATGAATTTGAAATTAAAAAAGTGGGGAAAAAAATCACTAGTTTGATATAAAGATAAATCTGATGTTCAGTTATCTAGGACTGAACCAGGATATCAGTTTAACACCTCTGTGCCTGCAGCTGTCATTTAGTGACAACTAACAGTTAAATGTGAACTTGTAGCCCTGCCTCCTCCATCTCTCTCTGGCCTTGCTGTCATAAGTTCCACCTGCTTTTGTGTACTGAGATGGATTTTTCCTTGTCTGTGTGTGCTGAGAAAATAGGCAGGTCAGCATATTATAGGATGGAGGCAGGAGGTTGTGCTACTTAATTGTTTTGGAATATGAACGGGAAGGATCCAGTGAGTTGCATTGTCAGATGGCTTCAATTTCATGCTTGAGGCAGCAGGAGCTCCATGAGTAATTTCCCAGGTGGCCTCCCTCTCTCGCCCTCCCTCTCTCTTTTTCTTTCTTTACTTGTGTCTCTCTCTCTCTTGCTCTTTTAATCTTCTGGACTTCACTCCCGTGACCCCACCACAAAAGCATACAAGTAACTAAAGCGCACATTCAGACAGATGTTCATAAAACATTAGAAGTGGAAAGATACACTTTTGTACATAATTGTGTGTGTGTGTGTGTGTGTGTCAACTGGAGTGCATGAGAGAGCATTCTGAGGTCACTCTGATCTTCTACTTCAGAGTCAGAGTAGTCTAATTTTTCTGGAGTCTCTTGCTACATGTTCTTTTAATGGAAAGACCTGTTGCCCGGAGCTGAGTTTCACTCACTTGCCAAGATGCACTCACTCACACACACACACACACACACACACACACACACACACACACACACAGTTGTTCTTGTGCTTACTATATACAGTAGTGAGCACCAAAAATGCAATTTTTTGCTACAGAGTGAGGACATATTGGCTGGTCCTCTCTTTGTGAAACACCTTTCTGAGGGTTAAGACTTGGTTTTAAAGTCCAGGTTAGAATTAGGTTTATGTCAAAGTTTGGGTAAGGGGCTAGGGAGTGTATTATGTCAATGAGTGTCCTCACAAAGATAGAAGTGCAGGTATGTGTGCACTAATACATGCACATACTGTATGTGGATTTTTCTCATTTTCAGTGAATGGATGCAGATTTGCATGCATGCATTTGAAAAGTTCGAATCAGGTTTTCCCTTTGATTGTCAGCTATGGTTATGAGTTACTTGCTCAGCCACTGGCTGGACAAAGGCAACAGGCTTGTTTCTTAAATAAAATAGATTGTATGTCAGCTTGTTTTTAAAACAGCTTGGTTGAGTGTTTAAAACCATCTCAACTTAAGGTCCCTGTAGTAGTTTTCAACCACAGTTTTCATGTAATGTTATTTTTTTGCTGATCAAGCTCAAGCTTTATTGAACATATATTTTTGAAACATACAGTTTAAT